TTGGTTACTTAATTCAAGGAATGGTATATGTTCTTATTATATATTTATGTAATTGTGAGTTATGTATGATTGAATGATGTGAACTGACATTGGTGTTGGCATATCAATATGCGTGGATCTTGTGAGGATCATGTGATGGTAAATTGACCAATTGATGTGTGTGAATCTTGTAAGGATCATGTGATGAAAATGAGCAAATTGTGAATATGCACCTTGATAACATGATATTGCATTGAGTATCCTGTAACATGCATAATATGCATATTGACAAATCGTTGTGTGTGGATCTTGTGAGAGTCATGCAAATTGGCAAATTGACAAATCGATACATATATGTTTATACATATATTTAACTGGTTCTACATCCATATGCACATTGTAGTTTGTGTTCATTGCATTACGTGTGTGAATGTATATTGTGTAATGAACGTTGTTGTGAACCGTGATTGATGTTGTTATTTCTTGATGTTGTGTGTATGGCTATCTGACTATATATTCTATGTTGTGAGATAGAGTAAGATGTTTCTCACTCTCCTTTTCTTTTGTTGACGCTCTTGTGTATGTGTTATAGGTAAGGATCATCAAGTGGATGACTAGGTTGGAGATGAAGCTTATGCCTTGTACTAAGTGTTGTGCTATAATAGGATGTGACATTAGTGTTTAGTTAGGATTCTATTTTGTTGGTTTCTTTATGTTTAGGACTTCATGTTAGATTTTGTTTTGTAATGCTATATTGAACAATTGTCTTATGGTGTGTTTGGATGAAGAATTTTACAAATTCAAGAAATTTTAAATTCTTGGTATTTGAATTACTTTGATTTCAATTTCTATCATTCTTTAAATATTTTGTTTGGACGAGTCAATTCAAATTTCTTAAATTTTAAATTGTTAGGTTGAATATGATAATTTGATTCCATCATAGTAAAATTGATTTTAAAAATATATTTATATGTTGAGATTTTTAAATTAAATTTTATAAAAATAAATATTAATTCATTTTTAAATATTTAATAATTTTAAAAATTAATATTAGATAATATTTAATAATTTTAAAAATTAATATAAGATAATATTTAATAATTTTAAAAATATTTTTGAATATTCAATAATTAAAAGAATAAAGAGATAAGATAAAATATACAAGTGAAATAAGAAAAACAAATATGAGCAATTTCAAATTCTCCCATTTTTGGGAGAATTTGAAATTTTACTATTTTAAGGAATTCCACAAATGCTTGGATTTCAAATTCCATTAGTTCTTTTAGTGATGTGTTACTATGTGATACCTTTATCCAAGAGGATTTACGAATATTTGTTTAATTTGTATATTTTATTTTTAACACCTTTTCATCTTGTTATTTTATACGCCTTTGTTAGTATGTGGGAGGGTTCACATATATAATCCCTCTGATTTGTAACACCCTAATTTTCAAAAAGGTTATTATTATTATTATTATTATATGATATTTGGTCATAATTATTTTAATAATTATAGAAGAATATTATTTTGTACGTTTTAAATAATTATTGTTTTGGACAATTATTTTGTACGTATTAAATAAGTATTTTTATTACCATTTTTGAATAAATGTTTATATTTTTTAAGAGAAGATTGATTTTATATGATATTTTGTTATTGAAATTATATCATTATATTTTGGGTCAGAAATATATTATTATTTTTGAGGAAAAAGAGAAGTGGGTTAGAACAGAAGGAAAATGGGTTGGGTTGACCTAGCCCAATGGATTAATTTTAAGAAAGGAGTCAGGTAGCGTTAACCTTATCTGTCTCATTTGCGTTCTGAAGGGTTAGGAAAAAAAGAGGAGAAACAAAGAGTTCAAAGAGTACTCAGGAACGATCTTAGATCACATCAAGACCATTTGTCTTCTGCTCATCTATGTAAGGAGGGAGTGAAAAACCTCGCTCGGGGTGTGGGAATAATTGTTGGGTAGTTGGATTGGCCCTCAATCCCTTGCCTGATGCATGCTTCTAGGAACATGCAAAGTATGAATATTTCTGTTTTGCCTTCTGATTGCTTTGTTGTGTTCCTTGTTGGATGTGATGCATGAGTATGTGGTTAATTTTGAAAATCAATATGTTTTTATATGAATTAGAGTGCTCTGTGGGTTCCTACGGCAAACCCTATGAGAAAACGGGCAAAATATGAATGATTTATGTTTTTCCTTCTAATTGTTCTGTTGTGTTCCTTGTTGGATGTGATGTATGAGTATTTGATTAATTTTGAAAATGAATATGTTTTGATATGAATTAGAGTGCTCTGTGGGTTCCTACGGGAAACCCTATGAGAAAACAGGAAAAATATGAATGTTTTCTGTTTTATTTTCTGAATGTTTTGTTGCAATCCTTGTGTGATGTAGAAAGTAAATATGTATTTGATTTCGTTGAAATTGTTCGTTTGAAAATTTCCCGAAAAGCTAATCAATTATGAGTATGACTATGTGAAATATGAACAAATGACATGATTCATAATGTTAATGAGAATGTGCTAATGTGAACACTATGACTATGAGAATGTGAAATGTGATAAAACATGAAATTCCATGACAAGTGAAGTGATGAGTCCATGGGTTTGTGAACGTGTGACATGCATCATGTGCATATATGAGCTAACAAGGTGTACCTTAGGGTCACTAGTGATGTAATATGCTAACAAGGTGTACCTTAGGGTCACTGGTGATGTAACACGCTAACAAGGTGTACCTTAGGGTCACTGGTGATGTAACACGCTAACAAGGTGTACCTTAGGGTCACTGGTGATGTAACAAGCTAATAAGGTGTACCTTAGGGTCACTGGTGATGTAACAAGCTAATAAGGTGTACCTTAGGGTCACTGGTGATGAAATGATGAGATATGTGATGAGACACGTGACTGACGCCACATGCATTTATGAGTCGAGTCCATGATATCATTGCATGATAAACAAGTGTACATGATATGGGATATTGATTATGTATGTGTATTGTTTATATGTGATTGGTGTTTATGACTTGTAATATGTTTGTTGTGCGTGTGTGTGCTACCTAATTGTTATTTCTACACTTGGAACCGAGTGAGATGTTTCTCACTCCCTTGTTGTCCTTTCTATGTGTTTAAAATTGTGTTGCAGGTGATCATTAGCATAAGGATGTTGGTCATGAGGCTTAGGCTTCAGTTGAGCATGGTCTAATAGAATATGTGACATCGGGGCATAGCTAGGCGTAATTAAGATTTCGTTATTGTGTTTTGTTTTGGAAGAACTCAAGTTTCATTTTTCCGCATTTGATCATGTTTTAAGTTGATGAATGTGAATTCTCTACTTTTATGTTATTGGAATTGTTGTTTTAATTCCACAGTTTTTTTAACCCAATAACATATTTCTTTTAATTATTACATAATTATGTTGGGGTAGAGGGTGTCACATGATTCACATTAAAAAATTCAATCCATTTTTAAGAAAAATTTGAATCAATCCACTTTGCAAAATTGGTTTGGTTACTTGATCTATTTTTATAAAGTAGATTAGTTTGATTTGATTTAATATTTAAAAAAAATTGATTTATAGATGAGTATAAAGTGGATAATCACACCACACTGGATTGATCTAATTTTAAAAAATTCAATCCATATTTTTAAGAAGTCGTACCGATCTATTATATAAAAAACGGATTGGTTAACTGATCCACTCTTATAAAATGGATTTATTCAATTTAGTTTGAATTTTTTCAAAAAATTAATCTATAAACACCCTTCATAACTTTATTATTTAGTTTTTATTATATTTTTTCTCTACTTTTCCATAAATTTATTTTTCAAAATTCTCAAATCTCTTGAATAATTATTAAAATTGTTCATATATTCTAATCATTAACTATTAACACATATTTAACTTTAATTATTTTTATTATTTATTTTATATCATTTTTAAAAATAAAATACATGTAAACAAAAAGTATCTTTTATGCTAGTAATGAATTATTTTAATCGTATAACTTATCTTAATTGATAATATAAATCGTACAGTTTTTATAAAAAACTACAGTACAAATAGTAGACTAATTTTAATATTAGTACAGATAATATAACATATTCTTTTTCGGTAAAAATAAATTAGCATATTCAAATTAAAGGTAATATAAACATAATACTTTTTATATGTGATTTTTTTTTTAAAATTAAATCTATTTTCTTTTATAACGAATTCCAAACATAGAAATCAACTCAAAATCTCAAATTGATTCACCGTTAATGTTCTAAAGAATCTAAACATAATATGCTTTAAATTTATTTTTCCTTTTATTTTTAATTGTTATATTATTTTTTGATAATTATTAGAAGATAAATGTCAATGACTTCCCTTAAAGTACGTATTATGAATTAAAAGAAAATATTAAATTAAAAAATTATTTTAACTATGTGTTACACATGCTAAATATTTATTATATATAATTAAAATTTATAATAAATTATATATAAATAAATATTGTGTTTAATATATAATTAATATTTAAAATTTGTATAAATAGATATTTTTAAATATATGAATTTTGTTTTAGATTTATGATAATTAATTTTTATTGTAGTACAAATTATTTTTTTATTTATTAATAACTTATTTTAAAAATATTAAAATTTAATTATAAAAAAATATAATAAATAAAAATTGAATAAGATAAAAAATAAAAAATCCTAAAAATCCTATTATAAAAAAAAGTTCTTAAAAACACATGCAAGATAGTTGTTTATGTTTAATATATAAAAATTAGATTAATGCTTTTAAGATGTTAATATATTAAATATTATACTTTCTATCCATAATTTTAGTTTTTCTGCTTTTTAACAACTCTTATACGGCACACTTTATAATAGTTGCGTTTCTCGACCTTAATCATTTTGTGTCCTGATTATCACAAAACATGAACACTAAATTTTACCAACATATTTTGATAGAATTCAACTTCAATGTAGGGAATAATGGCATTAGAAATTGTTGCATGTAAAACGCTAATGTGTGGTACAGTGGAAGAAACTAGATGTTGATATCCACAAGCAAAAATAAATCTAATTGTAATCATTAATCTGATAAAGCTTGATATACCCTCCTTTAACAATAATCAATTAAGTATAACTTGTGCTACTAGTTGTTTGCTAGCAAGAGAATGAAGTATTACAATAAACAACATGGATAGCCTATAATTTGATGAAACTATCCAAAGGATAAGATATTGGATTTGAAATAATCATATATTCCAGAGTAGGAACATGATCTAAAGCAATACAGTATCTGAATAGGTGCATTCAGATTTCTAGTTCATGCTATTGTCATCATCATTATGGATGCATCCAAAGTCAGCAACCTTTGCTTTTGGTCTTTTGACAATGCTGTTTGAACAACAAACTATTGCTCAAGTTTTTATATCTAGCAGTGCAAGACATCATGAACATGGTGCATGCAGACAGCAAACCATTTTAATTTCTCCAAAATTCTTCAGTAAGATACCAATGCAGCTTAGGTGCATAGAATCGTCCTCTGGGAATAAACAAAGTTAGGATTAGAACACTACCCGATTTGAGATTTTGACCAAGCTCTTGTGGGACAAACATCATTTTAAGATTGCTACAGTTGATAACAAAGAAAGTACCTAGAATTTTGAGAATAAATTTAGTGGAAAAATTACTTAAAAAGGGATACCTGGAGAATAAACAAGAAAGTACCAAGGAACTGAAACCATGAGCTGAGATATTGGCGCAAATTGATGTCTTGTCTCAAAACAAGAAAACTACTTTCATGTTAGCACAGGACAAACTAACTATAGTGGGAAAGCACCCCACACAACTTTACAATTTTGTTCCTCCATATCTATTGTTAGGATCCAATTGCAAGATATGAGACTTGAGTCTCACATTAAAAGCACGAGATTCTGGTATAGATTGTATAAGGCCTTGAGTCTCCAATTACAGTAGCAAGCTTTTGTTGTGTGGTTCTCCAAGGTTCTTGTCATCCATTTAGACCAACATTTACTGGGATGCAAATGAAACAATAGAAGAAGAGCTACTCCCTTATTACTCTCCACCAATAGACAATAGTCATTATCCCATTGAGCCTTATTATATGACAATTCATGAGAGATGACAAGATTTCATGGGGAGGCAACAACACATAATATCCAAACCAATTTGTTGATCTGATACCACCACAGTTCCTGATTGATAGCTGCTTCAATTTTTAGCCAATCAAACCATACTGTTCTATAATAATCAGATGAAAACAAAGGAAATCAAAATATTTCAAGATTCAATACTAAAAACAAAACAAAATATACTATGCTACATTTTCCAAAGAAATTGAACAAACATCACACATCAGTGTTAAATATATCACCTGCAATGTCTCCTGAACTATTCACAGAATCCTAGTCAGATGTGTAACTGGCTATCACTTTCTTCATATAGCCACAAATTAATTACATGGGATGAGCACGTCTGCAAAAATAGAATTCAATAATTTTTATGTTACTGCATATGGTATTGTAAGAGCTAACGGGTTGCCACAATAACAAATTAGCAATATTTGAAGCTCTCCCAGTATGTATATCAGTATGGAAATTGTATAAGACGAGAACTAGAAACTTGACAAGGATTCTAAAACAAATTAAGAGGTTCATCAGAGTTTCTTCCTAAATATCCTTCATGGATTTGGAATTTTGAAAACATTTGTAAAACATAAAGCCACAAAGTATAATAGATAGACAAGCAAAGTTGAGAAGGACTAGAAAGAAACCCTACTCACATCATAGGAAGCTATGCAGAGAGCAAGATTATGTTCACTTCACAGAAGGTACCCAATACAATGCCCCAAAGATCCAGCACATTCTTATCTTGCGTATTGGGAATTTCATTTTCTGGGGCTTCATGCCTCTATAATGCATTAAATATAACAATAATCGCAATAAGCGACACCTACATGATAAATCAAAATTTCAGGAAAATAAGCACAGACAAAGTTTTAGCCATATAATTACAAGTAATTAATTTCCCAATTAAAGAAAAAAATCCTATGAGAACTAGGAAACATCTATCTCGTCTAGATTTTAGTACCAAAAAAAATGTGAACTGCATTCATTTAGACCTACCAACCTAAGCATTCTCCTTCAATGCAAACGGGGAAAACACATTTTGGAAATTATTCTGTTATAATAATTATGAAAATCCAGGTCACAGCTGGTGCTAAAATCTAAAAAACATCGATCTTTAAGAAATCAAAAACTAGTTCATATTTTTATAATATCCAAAATTTTCAAGTATTAGATCAAATTCAGTATAGATTTTTAATGGACCAGAAAGTAACATTTAATTTTTTGACAGAATTAGATAGTTTATCCCAATTATTAAATTAGAAAGGTAATTAGTTTTAGAATTCATATTACGTAGTAAAACTTCCCACTACTTTTTCAGACTAAGATTGGGTCCGATTAACTCCAAAATTGAAGGAAAAAAAGTTCATAACCAGTATAAATGACTCTTCTAGAAAACTGAAGGTAAAAGAAAGAGGCATGATGAGAAAAGAACATTCCACAAAATAATGTAAGCACAATGTAGATAGAAAAACAACTGCAACTAAGACCAAGAGTCTAGGAAAATGAACTTACTGAACAAACTTAAGAGATTGAACGGTCATTACTCCCAATGACAAAGTACTCTTCATGGTACGTCTATGAATGCCAGATTTTTCACATATCACCACCTTCAGCATTTTTCTTGATGAGTGACTTGGTTCGTACCACATTTAGAACTTGTGCTTCATGTTATCATTTAATCAACAATCCTAATGCTTTCAATGTGACTAATATTTCCCCAGTCTTCTCCATCTGGTTTCTGGCAAATCCTCCTCCTAGGCATTGGAGTATGGAGCAGTCAAACAGATGAAATATTCTTAAGTTAGGAGAGCAGACAAAGATCCTTGTAGTCCAGTTTGATTGGAAACGATCCTTCATCAGCAAAAGATTCATGTTGGGAAATGACACATAATTTAAGGCCCTGATTTATCAGATACTTGAAATGATTATGATTATTCTGTTCTTGTGAAATCATTATCGGGATCTAGATACTAAAGTCATTGCCGTCTTATTTACATCGGTTCCCGACAAATCAAGGAGTTGCAATTTGAGTTTATTAAAGTTCAAGGGCAGCCCTCCAAAATGTGCACAATATCTCAGCTTCAGTATTTGTAAATTATAGAGTGAACATATTGAATCAGGCAACTTTCTTATATGGGTACAAGAAAGGTCGAGAGAACGAAGATGTTTAAGATTGCCTATAGAGTCAGGTACCTCTGTAAGACTAGAATTACCCGACAAAGATAAGACACGCAAGTACTTAAACTTCAAAAACAAATCATTTATGAACGTGCTAGATGTTCTACAACTCCAACATACAATACCATTTGGAGTCGTACTTAATGGTAGAAATGTCCGCAATTTGTCACCATGATATAAACCCTTAAACCCTGCAAAATTATGAATGCAATTCTGTCCCAATGAAAAATGGCGGGTGGTTATAGGAATAATTGTTGTTTCTTTAACGTCCAACCTGAAACAAAAATCCCCACCAACATATTTTGCCAAATCATTGAGAAGATCATGCATGACATAATACATCTGCTCTCCACCTGATTGTTGAAAAAAGGACCTTGATAGCAGATCATCAAAGTATTGTCTGCCAACTTCTAACATACTCATATTCTGTTGAGAGCACTGTACAAAATTTTCAGCCATCCATAACAGAACTAAATCCTCCTTGTCAAACTCATAACCTTTGGGAAATAAGACACAATAAGCAAAACATCTCTTGAGTTGAGCAGGAAGGTGGTGATAGCTTAATAATAAAGCAGGGATAATTTCACTATCCTCTTCAGAAAATTCCCATATCTCACTTGTTAATACACTCTCCCATTGCAAAATAGATGATTTTTTGTGTAACAAACCTCCAATTGTTGACAAGGCTAGTGGCAGTCCTTTGCATTTTTCAACTATCTTCATACCAATTGCCTTGCAGTGTGAATTTGATTGAGGATTTTCATCATGGAATGCATGTTTAGCAAACAATTGCCAGCAATGATCATCTTGTAATTGTCTTAGGAGATGTATCTTGTTTGATCTGACAGTTGAAGCAACTTTCATGTCACGTGTGGTGACAACAATTTTACTTCCTTGAGCTCCATAACTAAGAGGAGTTTGCAAAGCTTCCCATTGTTTTTGTTTTTTGTTCCAAACATCATCCAAAACAAGAAGAAATCTCTTTCCTGTCAAAAAGTCTCTCAATCTTCCATGAACCATTTCTAGCTCTCTACTATCATCAACTGATTTAGTAATTGTGTCAAGAATTGCTCTTGATACCTTTAAAACATCAAAATCATCTGAAACATAAACCCAAGCTTTAATATCAAATTTACCCTCTATCTTTGAATCATTGTATACATGTTGCATAAGCGTGGTCTTACCCATCCCACCCATACCCACAATAGAAAATACTGATGGATGGTTACCATTCTCAATGTCAGACATCAGCCAATTAAAAATCACTTCTTTGTCATCATTTCTACCATATAAAACACTTCCACCAAGCAAAGACGTTGATGGCACCCTTTGTAACACTTCACTAACTGATCCAACACCAGAATCAGTAGACTCTTTCAAACCCAAATCACCCTTTAACCCAGCAAGATATTCCAATTTTTCAAGGATTTGTCTCATCCTTGACTCAATTTTCCTGTTAAATGAACTTAAAGCAGCATTAAAGAAAGGTACTGTTACCTTGCAAGTACAGGTTTGAGATTCAGATTCAGCTTTTGAGAGTTCATAGTCTATTTCATCCAAGAGGTCCTCTGCGTCAAGCACAACATCTTTGACATCAGTAAGCCATGCTTTCACGCGTGAATCTCTGACCTGCTTTTGTTCTGCATCCTCAGCATAAGCATTGATGCACCGCAGCATGGTGTTCAAGTTGCTCACCAGTGTCTCATCGAGCTTTCTTCCAAGAAAGAAGTCCAAAACTTGACGAGAAGCAAGTCTGTCAAATGCAACCTGGAGGAAAGCAGAAAGAAGAGCACCACCAACTAATGCTACTGCCATGGTATTGGTAGGATTGCAAATCTGAATTGCAGCTTATGCAAATGACTGGTGCAGAATTAGTAGAACTGAGCAATAAGTTGTGTTTCTAAATGGGTGGTTATATAAACAACTAACCAAACTAAGTCTCTTCATCCAACGATTGTAAGGTCTGTTCTAAATCATGTGTAGATCTGGTGCTCCCAAAAGATCAAACAAGGGACCTAACCTTTCATGCATCCGCTTTATATTTTAGTTCTCACAATTTTACTTTTAGTCATTACCCAAAAGGCCTATCAATCATTGAAATATGTTTATGTTATATAAGTTATTATTTGTTATATTATTTTATCAATGTGAGACTTGTTTGTATCCCAACAAGATTAATAATTCGTCATTAACTTTGAGACACGCATGAAATATTATCATGAAATATATATAAAACAAAACATCTCTTTCTTGCGGGCCAAGTCAACGAATAACTCCTTAGTCTTCCAAAGACATGTATTCCACTTGGAATAGTCAAAGGCTAAGAAGGGAATAAGAATTGTGGCCAAGGTTAAAAGGATGTTAACGTTTTTTGAGGTCATCGTAAATACGATAGTGGCATTTGTTCGCAATTTCCAGGTAAAATACTAGCTTATTTAATTTCTAATAGTAAGATACACAAAATCATTGTAATTTCTACAAATTAAAAACTTATCAATTTATATAATTATTATATTAGGAAAACACTTCATCCTTTCATATATTTATTTTAAAGAATAAAAATACAAGAGATCCGATATAACTTTCGCAAATGAGTTGTGAGTGTGAGTAATTCATATATATCATGAATAACTTAAGTGGTAGAAGAAAGATATAAAAAAAAGGGTGAGAAATCTAATACAGTATCACATAAATATCTTCTCTATATTTTTTTTTGAGAGCTAAATAAATTCTCTATTATATATATATTAACATTAACTAATTATTTCTAAACTAATTTATTAATTATTATGACTAATAGTTATTATAATATCAAATTAATTGACTGTTATTAATTATGATTAGAAAAAAAGTGACATTCAGTATCTCTATTTATTTAAAAAAAAATAATAGAAGTTAAATAATAGTGAGTAAGTGGTTTATCTTGAGTGAAGTGTTTGAAGTTTAACTACGAAGTAACTTTTATATATATATATATATAATTATAACTTAAATATATTTTATACTAACTTAAATATGTTTTTAATTATAAAATGAGTGAATTTTGATTTTGATTCTTATAATATTTTTTATTCTTTTAAAATTTGTAACCATTATTTTTTATCTCTATAAATAAGTACAAAAAATGATTTTGATCTTTCTAAACTTCTAAAATATTTTGGTCTTTCTCAAATAACAGGAGAACTGGAGAAGGCTTTGGTCAAAAGAAGTGTACAATTTGGTGTAATTAATGAAGGAATATTCTCAGGCCACGACACATACACTTGAAGGCAAGTTGATTCATTAAAAGGTTTTCGTTTACTTTGATTAATAAAGTAAACTAAAAAATACTATTCAAATGTGTAAGGAAAAATAGTGTTAATTGAATAATAATTTTGTTTTTTTTTTATATTATTTGATCGTAAGAATTTAATAATTAGTCATTTATAAATTTAAGTTCTCGTTCAAAGGTATTTTATTTTTTAAAAAAATGCCTAAAAAATAAGAGTTATTATCTTTTGATAGAAGATTAAAAAATAAAGTAAAAACTAACTAAAGTGTTAATTGAATAACAATTAATTAGATTCAAAACTCAATTTTGATTTCAAAAATATTTTTTCTTAAAATAAAATATTAATGCAACTATATAAAAAAAATGTTTTTTTTTGCGTCATCCTTGTTGTGGTTTAATTGTGACAGTTGACGAAATAGGGACTTTCTTTATATAATTGTATAAATTAATAGTTGTTATTATGAATGATTTGTGTCTTTTGTGACGGGTTATATACTCCCTCCATTTGTTTGGTAGTTTAAAGTTGAGATATTATGAATAAAGTCCTAAATTTAAACATTGCCTATATAATTCTTATTTATATATAAAAAAAATACTTCTTCCATTTCAAAATTGTGCCATTTAATTTTTTTAAAATTAAGAAATATTTAATTTAATTTATATATATAGGAGGGTTATAATAACGTTGCTGTAACTTTTACCAAGTATTATACCGTTCAATAACTTTATATTAAATGTGAATTTTGTAAATCTAATCGTTAAATTGAAATTTCCTTACTTTTAGATCATATATACAAAATTTTATATTTATTCAAGATGATTTGATACTTCATTCTTATAAAAATAAAAATTGACATAATATATACATTTTAAAATATACTAAAATATGAACACTTTGATTACCTTCAAGTTATTGTTTAATTTTAACAAATTTTGATATAAACATATAAGGTGATATGAACTTTCAATCTAAGAGTTTGATTTACAAAATTCATATTTAATATAAAGTTATTAAGCAGTGTGTTACTTAGTAAAAAATTACATCGATATTATTATATCCTCATTTATTATATTATAGATTTCAAGGATATTTCTAACCACTTCATTTATATTCCAGAAAACGATTTCCAACTACTCCGATTTATTACTCCTATCTAAAACAAACGTTCCTTAAACAAACCATAAAAGATTTACGTGCCAACTGGCTTTGTCTCCAGCTTGCACGCGTTGCTCTGCGGTAAAGGAGACCACCCTTCATGTGCTCCGCAATTGCTCACATTTGAGGGAACTATGGTATCGTATGGGCATTACTTCTACGACAATGATGTTGACTCTCAACCTACATCCTTGGCTTTGGCATATTTTCACTCATGAAAAGCGACTTTTGATCTTATCTACACTTTGGTGCAGTGGAAATGGCGAAATACCTAGGTAATTGCCAACACCTCCTGGAGTGTCACGTATGTTAGTCAACTAGTTCGACGACAGAAGCTTGAGTGTCAACTTTATTGCTCAAAAACACCCCAGGAGCAAGATGGTCATTGGGCCCCTCCTGGCCAGGGAGACGTGAAACTTAATGTGGATGACTATTGCTCTAACCAAAAGTCAATGGGTGGCGGCGGTGTTCTCTGGGGTGGCCGTGGAGATTGGCAATTTGGATTCTCCACATGCTATGGCCAAGACAGTCCTTTTCTCACAAAAATTCTGGCAATAAGGGATGGACTGATGCATGCTTGGAGGTTGGGGTATAGAATATAACCTGTGAAACTAACTGTATGGAAGTAGTAGATGCAATTAATATTTCTGATATGAGGGAGCTGTCATTGCATGCGCATAAGGATAAGTTTTTACAAATACAGGATATTTTAAGGAAGCATTGGAGAGTGAAAATCGTGCATATCCCTCGGGAGTGGAATAAAGTGGCTGATTGCTTAGCTCATGAAAGGGCCAATGGTTTAATTAAAGAGTTCATTACTCCTCCATTCTAACCCTTGAAGCTTTCCTTTTAAGACCTAACGAATGTAAGCTAATTATTTACATATTGTTCTCTATCTTCCTTATTTTCCTTACTCTACCAAAAAAAAAAAACGTTCCTTACTTAATTTCAGGGAAAAATTAAGATAGATGTGATGATGTGTTGCCTAAGTAAATTATCCTTTATTCAATTATCCTCTAGGCTAACACCATCTTCAATTGTCAAACTTTTTTTTTGGACTCCAGTAAAATAAAATTATTATTTTACTACTATTATTCAAACATATATTTTATGAAAAATTAAAGTAAAATTTTTATTTTATTATTTAGAAAATGAATAGTAAAATTCCCATTTCCATTGGTTCTCTGAAACCTTCAGAAGGCTATGAGTAATAACCTTTTACTTTCTTAACACTATTCTTTAAGAAGTATAATAAATTTTAATTTTTATAACAATTAAAATTTTAATTTTTCAACTTTGTAATTTTAAAAATAAAGGCTAAATATATATAGAGGAATAATTAAGCATTTTTTAATTTTAAGATATTTACATTTTCAAACTTTTCTTAAATAAGGTGTAAAAAAAAACTTTCTTAAATAAATATCTTTTATACCATTTATTTGTCAAAAATACAATGTATGCATCGATTTAACTTGTTGGTCTTGCATTTTAATTGGTGATACAATTGGAAAATTAGCAAGAAATTATTGCTTCACGTGGGAAGAATTCTTAGAAACCATTCAACTCAAACTTGGGACACATTTAGAATCTCTTATATATCTTTCACGAATCGAATGAAGCTAGAGTATTACTTCGTTATACATATATTTTTAGTACATAAAAATTTTGAATATAAAAATTAATCAAAAATATAAAAACAGAAACTAAAAACATAATTTAAAATACATAAACAATCCCTACATTCCGATATACATTACTGTGCACTTAGGTGTCATACCAAACATAAGTAGAGGTACATAAAATAAACTCTCCCCAACAAGTAAAACTAACTTTTCTTACATGCAACTCTATTTTTTATCCAAGAAGACGTCCACCTATTCAACTTATAAAAATTGAAACTTAAAGGAACGAGACATAATGTCTCGGTGAGGGCTATAAGAACCCTAAACTAACTCTACTTCTTAATTATCACTTCCTTAAACTCATTTGACTCACGACAGCCTGTTTTTTATAAATAAAAACAAAATAAGTTGTTAAGTAAAATTATATTATGAACTTAATTAAATTATTTAATTAGATATATAGTATATAAAAAAATAGACAATAAGTTAAAAGAATGAGTCTTAGGTTGGATTTAAGAGTCCAACTTAGAAACTTACTAAAAATAGGAAGAAAAAAAATGTTAGATCTTTTTTACGTATCTATTTTAAACTCTAAGAATGTGTAATGAAATTTTTTGAGGGAGATTAGAGAACACGTAGAGTAGTGACAAAGGTGGTGGAAGAGCATGTTTGTGCCTCATAAGTTGTCATCTGAGGTAAGATAGAGTGTAATATGTATCTTTCATAAGCATATATAAGGGATATGGATAGTGACGTAATCCCTAAACCTCTTAAGTTGTTAATTGAATTTCATGGATGCATATGCGTATGATATGAGATTGATGTGTTGAAATGTTGTCATAATTTCGTGAATA